ATCCATACATATATATATATCCATTTACATATATATATAGTATACTGACCCCTCCATCTGTATACCCGCAGCCTTACGACGAAACCGCCACGAGAACTAGATAACCATTTTAAGAATGCCGTAGATAAATACCACACGGACTTTGGAGTAGTCAACAAGAAGACATGCTCTTATATGACCTGGTTTTCCATCACGATATCTCTGGCAAATATGCTCCCGTACTGCGTTACCATAGCAACGATGGCATCGCCTGAGGCGCCGCTGGCTTTTGTCAACTTCAACTTCGTGTCGCAGACCAAGTATTCGGTCAAGGAATCTCTGGGCAAGGACTGCAGGTTTCTACAGGTAAGCCATACATCACAAGAAGTATGCAAGTGGGAATGTAAGTAGACATTCATCGTATCTGATAGCCAGGTTGTACACGTAGAGCTATATAATTCATGAGAGCAAAGAAGGCATTGGCGATAGAATCGCTGGCGGGCGCTATCGATGTCCTGTAGTTATCCTCACAAACGGTTTGAAGTGTTTGCATTCTCTACAGGCGCCCCGTTCGCACACATGTGAGTTCTAAAGCTTTCACCACAAGCATCCGAGTTCTCAGGCCTACAGGCGTTCATGCCCACTACAACAGGGTCCGGAAACAAAACCCGAGCATCGGGCACGCTTCAGGGAAGCCTTGGAAAACGGCGAGGCATGTATAAGTGATATAACGAACTATAAGAAAGATGGACAGCAGTTTCCGTGCAGGCTACACTTACAGCCAGTGTATGGGAAACAGGTATGCAAACTCGTGGTCGGTATATGCGTGTTTGTGTGTTCGCGTGTTTTTTTTATAGCCATATGTGTGCGTTTGTTTGTTTGTTTCGTATGTACGTATGTGCATCCTGTGCTGATGTGAATTTATGATTTGGGTTCTTCGAGCGTACTAATGGGCTAGTACAATACGAGGGAAGGGATCGAGTGTTTTACTGGAAGTGTGGTCTGTTGATGTTTTGTGCGTGATGTGTTGCAGGTATATTCAACTACATATCCCGGATAGGAGCGGGTAAGAAGTAGTACACAAGTGGGTGTACGTAGTACATAAGTGGGTGTAAACATTACATAAATGGGTGTGGATAGTACATAAATGGGCATAAGAAATATATAAGTGGGTGTAAACATTACATAAATGGGTGTAAATAGTACAGAAGTGGATGTATATAGTACATAAATGGGTATAAAAAATACATAAGTGGGTGTAAAAATTACATAAGTGGGTGTAAATAGTACTTAGGTGTGTGTAGATAGTACAAAAATGGGTATAAATAGTACATAAGTGGGTGTAAACATTACATAAATGGGTATAAATAGTGCAGAGGTGGATGTATATAGTACATAAATGGGTATAAAGAATACATAAGTGGGTGTAAAAATTACATAAATGGGTGTTAATAGTACTTAGGTGTGTGTAGATAGTACAAAAATGGGTATAAATAGTACATAGGTGGGTATAAACATTACATAAATGGGTATAAATAGTACAGAAGTGGGTGTAGGAAGTACATAAATGGGTATAAATAATACATAAGTGGGTGTAAATCGTAGATAAGTGGGTATATGTATCAGTAGTCGTTCGGCCTGCATCAGTGAGTACTTTTGCAACAGAACAAACTACATTTCGTGTGTGACGAGTCGTTTTGGTGTGGCGTTCTGATACCCTATTTTCGAAAGGGGTTGCGAAACTGAGTGCAAACCCTATTTGTGTTTTTACGGAAGTGGGCGGAGGTTGGATCATGGTCCACTGTTTTAATTCTGTGAGGAATTCCTGTTTCATTAGGAAATATATATATATTAGTTTTCGTTGTTCTGCATATATGCGGAGTCATGTGCATTTATTTATATTTATTTTATATGAATATTTGGAGACATAAAGTGTTCTCAAAGAATACTAGCTTTACTTTGTAAGGGACTCAATGACTCAAACAACTGTCCATCTCATCTTAATCTACCCTTTATCGACAGCAACAGAGCAAACCAGTCTTTTATATAGGACTGCAGACAGACATGTCAAACGTGACGCTCGTCAATGGAAATAACGTCGTATTAGAGCCTTTATTGGAGTTTTTCGCCGCAAATAATAATTCAAATACTTAATTAGGAGTTCAAAACATATAAAAGAGATACAGCTTACCAATAAAGTTTTATTAGTACTCATAAATATCAATTCTTGCAAGTATATGTATGCATGTGGAGCTATGATTAACTTGGGACGATTTTGTTGTTCTGTTCAGCCTTGTTCACGCATATTTGCTCCGCAGGCGTAAGCATATCAAAGAAAATGTGCGAAGTTATTTCCTCATACTGAGTGTATATCAAAAATATCTAGTAAAGCTAACATGGCATAGCAAAAAGCTGAGTTTGCATGTCTGAACACTCACACGGAGATATATCCCAGGAAACTATATCACTTCATGATCCCAAGAAACTACAGCAAATATTGATACTGGTAAAAATTGAGAATTCTATATTGTTGACTTGTAACATTGGTGCATATTGGATAGCCTAAAAATATTGATGTATATTGGATAGCCTAAAAATATTGATGTATATTGGATAGCCTTATCCATGTCTGACGAGCAATAGCCGCATATGTACACCTAACGAGCAGAGTCTTTATGATCGTTTTACATTATGTACGCCTGTGAACAGCGGAATCTTGATATTAGACTTGGCTTAAATTTCAAAGTACAAAAATGCAGTTCTACATTTGGGACAATCGGTGATTTACACTGCGGTGACAGTCAGACTAAATACACTCGTTTGTCTAATTTAGAAGGCTATGCTCGTCGAGACATTTTTATTTTAAGTCTGTGGACTTCGTTCCGCGGTTGGCGCCCGCCCTTGAAGTGCAAGTGCGAATTTTGGGTTTTTTTAATATATTTGTTTTTACAAAAAATGCCCCCTCCCCTCTCCCCCCCAAAACACAAGAATACGGCTAAGTCGCTAACTCGCTATTTATGCGGTATCTGTGTATTTATAGTCAATATTGTCACTGTATACATGCCATAGAAAGAAGGAATGCTACAGATTTATTGCCTTAACTCTGGAGCATTTTATTATTGGGACATCTATAATCTACGGTGTATGTGACGTAAACGTGAAAGAGAACTCAGAGCAGGATGCGCACTTTAGCATAGTTTTTAAAAATCATCATCCAATGATATTTGCTTTCAATAAAATGGAAAATGGAAAATCATGTATTTGTAATTTTGTAAAAAAATGTATTTTTGAAAAATATAATCTATTGTCTAGTTTGTATTTACTATTTAGGGTTTGGGGTTTTCTTTTAAAACAAAACAATTATCAAAAAACCCCTTCTCAAATGAAATCAAATATATATTTTTGCTCCATACTAAAAAATACATATGTACATGGACTTCTGCCAAATTAAAACAAGATGACGGAAAATAAACTATATTTATAAAATAACCACTGCTGAACTGCATAATAAATATTGTGAAGTATATTTGCCATCATGAAGGATGTGTTCTGTGACTTGTGAGTACATATGGGACGATCTCCACATTTGAATTGAGTGCGTGACTGCATGCACTCCATGCAGAAGTGCACGCTGTCTGTTTCCAATGTTGCATCGTAAATAAATATTTCTGAAAGTTGTAACCCTATAAATGTCACACTTCGAAAGCATCGCTTGTTATTATATGTAACTGGTAAAGACCTGTATTCACACAATACGTTCTCGGAACATCGACGGCTGCGTTCGAGGACATAGGTTTGCACATTTATACAATCCAGTAAAATAAGTGGTAAATTGAAATACCTAGAAATGGAGAAAAGAAACTATAAGGTTACCACGTTGTCGGACGATGAAGCCATTTTCACCAACAATGATCACAGAGCAAGCGGAAGCAGGTCTGGTGTGTCGGTTGATGTAGATGATGACGAAGCTGTCATGATATTCAATTCAGCTGGTGTTGGTCGATGTCAAGTTTCCAGTACATATAATGGGACAAGCAATCAAGTTGTACAGGGAGGGATAGACTCTATCCAGGGTAATACAGGTACTGTTCAGGTGTACTCAAATCACGCAGGTTTACACGATGTACGGGTATACCGCGTTGGGACGAACCTAAGCTACCACAGCCATAAAAAAGATGCCCTGGGCGAACAGCTAACCAGCTGTGGCGAGGATTGGAGCTTCTGTATGAGCACGGATGAAGCTTTGCAATTGAAGCTTGAACCCTGCCAACGATGCTATCCCACTCTGCCTGGCAACGACGTTCATCATGCGATCACACCCTCGGATCAGGCCGGAACGGCACTGACGATCAGTACACAGAGCACTAGTAATGCAATTGGCATATCAGGTGCACAAGATTCAACAGATGCAAGCTTATTTAAATTCAAGATAGGACAAGGGAAATCATACCACCGTAAATTATCGGTTAATGATAGTGGAGTTGCATGCGGCCAAAAAGGCCGTACGGCGGCTGTTCAGGTGACATCTGTGGGTGCGATGAAGCCTTGTTCGAAATGTTATGATGTTCCTTTTATAGAATTACAAAGCACTTCAAATCCCAGTACACAAACACTTATTGCCAGCAATGGTACGATATCTAGTCCCACCAATACAGAGCTTACGAGCGGTCTCGTTCGCAACACACAGTCGTGCGACCGGAACCTGCCCCAGGTGGCTAATGCTTACCCTAACACATGTTCAAGTACGAACAGTAGAGAACCGGCGGGCGTTGTAGGGGATATTTCTATTGCAAACGGTAGTATGACTGGACATGATGCAGCTTCAGTTGTCTTTAAGATCGGAAACGGAAAATCGTACCATCGCAAAGTTTCCATCAACGATGACGGAGTGGCGTGTGGTTCGGCGGGCAGTACATTGCCTATCGAGGTGACATCAACGGGAACGATGAAGCCTTGCTCGAAATGCTATCCATCTTCAGTTTCTACAACAACTAGCACTACATACCCTAACACACGGGCACATAGCGCGAGGGCTGCTGCGATATCTTCATCAACTATTGAAAGGGCCAGGAGCAGTCCCGATCAGAGCGTTCAGGTGTATGTCACTGTCCTGTCTGAGGGGGCCGATTCGTACCCCAACACTTGCTCGAGGCAGGACACAAGGGCGACGGTGGTCAACGCGAGAAATATTCAGGTAATGGTAACTTCTTCAGGTCGAGATGTGGTTGAGCTTAATATAGCTGAGGCCCGGTATAAGATTGGAAACGGGAAGAAATATCACCGCAAAGTAGATAGTGACGCCAGTGGAGTAGCTTGTGGTCAGAAAGGCTCTACGCTGCCTACTCTGGTGAGCTCAGTAGGCGCCATGACTCCCTGCTCAAAATGTTATAAGTAACTCATACGAAACGCACGCTTTATTGGATCGCACACGAATGTGTTACATTTACTGGTATATAAATATATAAATGCGGCAAGTGATTGGTCGTGGAAGTCGGTACGAAAATACACCATCAAGTTTGTTGCTACCCAACATGCGATGTTGATGGAGAAGTTTTAACCTATTCCAATATACAATATTGAAAGCGAAGCGATCAGCACAATCAACTCAATAAAACGCTAGCATTCAAACAATAAGTATATTACCTGTTCTATGCATATATATGTATTCTATATGTATAAATATGTATATTATATAAATATACATATATACATGTACACATACACACATACATACGACACACACACACACACACACAT